GGGGCTGGGAGGATCCTGTGCCCAAAGTCTTGCATATAAAGAGCTGTCAATGGCTTTATAAACTTCCAAGACCCAGAGGACCCAAGGAGAAAAAGACAGCTTATACTTTAGAAATTGAGAGGGTGGAGAAACACTGTCAGTTGGAAACAGCCAGCTTCTCCTACACCCAGGTTCTTCCATAAACCAACAAGGTGACAAGAAACAAACTCACAGAAGTGAAGCATCAAGCTCACACGAAGCCATAGATGAAGAGCTAATAGCAGACCAGTCCCTCCAAGTTCCTGTTTACTTAGGTTCAACACAGTGAATAAATGGCTGTAGCAAAACTAGGAGACCAAGATACGTTCATTTCCTTCCTCCTCACGTCCCACTTCCTTCCCCCTCAAAAGGCAGTGAGGACTGCTTATGTGGCAATTGAGAAAATAACTGGAATTTATTGGAAAGGGTAAAAAAAAGGTCACCTCTATGGCCTCTAAGTGCAAAGAAACCAACGGGCAGTGGAATAGCGAGGGCTTCCAGGCCCTTTCACCTCAGGACGGGCTGACACCTTCACCCTACCCAACCCCTCTTAGCCGGGGTCTGGCGGACCCCAGCAGGAGTTTCCCCCCGCCCTGACGCCTCCTGGCCGCCCACTGCACCAAAGCCCGCAGGCTTCCCCACAGCTGCAAGCGCGGAAAGGAGGGACGGGGCTGAGAGGCGTCCGGCAAGCGAACGGCTCAGCCCGGGGCCGCTGCACGACCAATGCCGCCCCCCGACCCGCCGCACCGCCCCCCTTCCCCGGGCCGGCCCCGGAGCCGTCACTCACTCCGAAGGGAGGGCACCTCGTCCCGGCGGAGGGCAGCGGAGCCCCGCGCCGTGCCGCCGAGCAGCAGGCAGCACGCCAGGAGCTGCAGCCGCACGCCCCACATCACCGCGGCACTGCGCCCACCCGCTCCCGCTCCACTCCACCGCACCGGCCCTGCCGAGCCCTGCCCCGGGGAGGGCAGAGGAGCGATCCCACCCTGCGGCGCCCCGCGGCGCGGAGGAGGGGCTGCCCGGCCCGGGCCTGGGGTAGGCCCGCGGGCTTCCCTCGTGCTGCTGCGGGAGGGGCTGCGGGGGGTGAGGTCGTGCTGCAGTCGCGCCAGTGCCGCCTGTCCCGCGTCCTTTTTCCCCGGGAAGAGGGAACGCCGCCGGAGACGGGCCGGCCGGAGGGGGAAGCGCCGCTCATGCAGCTTGGGCCGCTTGCCCAAATCAGGGTTGTGGATTCATGCAGACAAAAAGCTCTGTATTAATCTTATTTTCCATACGAAAACACTTTATCATGTCTACGCTCCAGGTACTTTTATCCTAAAAAGGAACCGAAAAATACCCAGAGACACTGGAGGTGGGAGATCATCAATAGCACAGGCCATGTTTGCAGGTTTTCTGCTCTGTCCCTGAGCAGCCTCACTTCTAAACACCCCACTTGGGTGACTTGGGTTTTTAGCTGGGTCAGCTTGTCAGCTCGAAATCATTTTACATTTTGGAATGGGGAAAAATTACTGCCTTCTTCCATTTTGTTAGGCTCTTCAATAGAATATTCGAAGGAGCTGCCCCACTTGGGTTGAGTTTGAGTCTTACGGAAGCTATGAATAGCAGAGGGAAACTTGAAAGCAGAACTTTTAAAGATAGAGCAGTTTTACTGGAATCAGCAGGCCAGTTTGGTTTTAATCTGCATAAACATGTTTCTGCATGGTTCCATCTCTCAATCATAACACAAGGATGGAAACAGAAACCTCTGGGCTTAGGCAGAGTTTCTCACTGGTAGTTTAGTAGAAGGAATTGAGAAGCAAGTGAAGCCAAACACTTGGAAAGAAGCAGGTAAGTAGGAGGGTTTCTCCAAACAGGTTAACAGACGATAAAAATGTCTGTCAGAGAACAAACAGCAGGAAACTGCTGAACAAGCTGTTCGAGCAGTGACCTGGCTCTGCAAGACAGAAGGGTTGTAACTCCACAGGAGCTGCAGTGTTCCTCTCAGGAAAGCTGCAGCTTTCGGAGAATTTCAGATTCTGAGAGAGAAGCTTGTAAATGGCCATTTATGAAGATCTGGCCACTCAGAACTGTCTACAGCTCTTCAAGAGTATTTGGCCACTGCTTTGAGTCGTGAGCTTCAGCAAAGAGCGCTGCTGCTCCAGAGCCCCCTCTTGGGTCACGCTGAGATCACGCTGTGTTTGTGATCCCGTATTTGAAAGTGAAGGTGCCAGTGAGCTGCTCCTAACCTACGATGGGTTTTTCTGCTTAACTCAGTAAGATCAAAGTAAGCACATTCTGATTCCCAATAATGAACATATCAACAGTGTTTTTGTAAATATTTTACCAAATGCAAAGAAGCATTTATTAATTCTGAGTAGTTTTTCTTCGCTATTCAGATGAATCTCTTTGACTAAACAGGTTTTTACTGTCTAGAATCTGTCCTAGTCTTTCTAAACCGGTAAATCCTTTCTAGCTGCATTTATACCGGCCTGGGTATTTATAGCTAAGCTATCCCAACTTAATTACCATAGTAAGACATCTTTGCTGGCATAGTGACTTGTAAAACCAACACAGTTGACAACATTTTCTGAAGAAAACTTGATGACATAGTTTATATTATCTTACACATCAAATTGTGTAACTTTCCAATTGTATTTGTTTGTTTGTTTTACCTGCTTTTCTTCAAAGCACTTGCTGTAGTGATTTGGCTCCTTTATTTCATTTTCTGTCTGGAACCCACTTTTTGTAAATACTTTTCTCTTAATTTCTCTGTTGATGATCCATTCTTTCTTTTTGTGTATACTTGGGCCCATATATATATGTGCACTTGTCTGAGCTGATCTGTCGTTCTATTTAGGTACTCTACACAGCCATTCAACACTCTCCTGTCTGCTTAGACAGTAACTCAGAAGAAGTGGGGCTTGAGCATAGCCTTAAGCTCTGTTATTTACTAAAAGACCAAGAACTACAATTTAGGAAGGATAGACAACCTCTTAACATCAACCTAGTTGGGAAAACCAAAAGGAAACAAAACCCCCAAAACCAGCAAACTTGTCTGGATGTAAGGATATATGCTTGCACAAATTCTAAGGCATAATGTGTACCTGGTGCTGATATGACTTTACAAGTTGGGAGTAGGTGTGCCTTTGCACGTTGTGCACTCCCCCTCAGAAGAGCTGATCTTTTTTTTTAGCTGTGTGTTTACATTTAGAAACCCTGCAGGTAATGGAAACATTTGCTGTGCTCATTAGAGAATGCACAGAGAAACCCAAAGCAATTTTACTTTCCTTTAACAGTTTCTTCTCAGAGGGAATAATTTTTGCATTAGGTACATTTTATTGACTACAAAGTAAGGTATAGACATTTATTTGTTATCTTTCTGTTTTGTGGTAAATCTGTAGTTACACAGTCAGTCTCATATCTGAGGATTTAAGAGCTGGGATTTAAGAAAGTTTGGAAGCCAGAGCTCCCATTGCCTTCATGGTGGTAGAATGTGTCTTTGTTACTTATATAATTATATTTTTATACTATATCCACACTTGCACATATGGGTAGGCAGCAGGGAACCACTTGTTAAAATTTCTACTCTCTTCTCTGAATTTTATGCTGGTAAGACAATAGAAAAAGCAGAAACATTTTCTAACCAGTGGGAATGACTTGCCACCAATGCTATTAAACCATTCAGGCCAGGTATCTTGGCCTTTGGTATAGAGAAAACCAATAAAATTCCCAGGTTTTGTTGTTTTATTTTCTTTTTCCCTTTTTTAATCTGTTCTTCATAGCTACAATAACCTAAAATAGAAGCAACTGGGAGTTTATTATGCGGTAATTATACTATATAGGTCTGGTTTTTCATGTCAGCTGAGAATTCTAGAGAAAGCAAGTTTTAACCTCTCACCTAAGAAGATGGACAGGAGGTACAATTTGCCTTTGAACTAGAGTTGTTAACATTGTAGCCTGAAGTTGGTGGTAAACACTTTTCCAAACACAGGTAACATTCAACTGCTGAACAGCAAATAGAATTTTCCTGTTCCTTCATGCAAAAAGACCTTGGGTTTATTTACACTCCTACCTATTCTAAATGTGGAAACAGTAATGAAAAAAATTACTGTTGAGAAAAGTTCCCTGTGGAGAAATGGCTTTTTAAAAAGATACATCATACCTTGAGAACTTCATCCACCTGAATACAGAAATGTCTTAAAACTGTTTTAAATTGTCTGTTTTGATCAAAAATTAAAAAAAAAAGTAAAAAACACGATTTAAAATATTTAAAATTTAAAAAAACTAAGACTGAATTTTTAAAAATAAATAGTTTTATACTAAAACTGTAGCATAAATAGGACAAAGAAGGGACAGCTTGCAATGAAAATCAGGTTTTGGTTCTTTCTTGCATTGGCATAGTTATTGGCAGAAGAGAGAGGCTGAGCTAGCTTCAAGAAACAAAATTGTCATCTACCAAGACCTTTGAAAAGCCAAAGCCTTTACAGTTATGTACGATACCCATCGTTATTGTGCTTTTTTATCTCTCTGTCAATATTAGCTGATACATGTATATGTCAGTGAAAACACAGAAGTTTCTAAGCATGAACCATTCCTGAAACCAAACAAAACCCACCAAAAAAGTACAGACTTTTGAGGCTAGCATACATTCTAAATTACTTGCCATGAGTATACATTATGCAATTGTTTCAGTTTTTACAATCCACTGTGAAATGCAAGAGAATGATTTTACTCTTTGCCTGGAGAATACAATGAAGTTTAAGTACAGTTCTGTCAGGAGTGCAGAGGAATGTTCTCTTTATCAGAGGAAATTAGCAGACATCAAAATACACGACTTTTCATTAGAGGAAAAAAAAAAAATGGAATTGAAGGGATTAAAGAGAAAATGTGCATTTTGCTGTGTAGTTCCAAAAATATATTACGGCTGTTAAACTTGAGGAATGGATGGATATTTAGCTTTAAGCAAGTTACACAATTTAGGGATCACTCTATAAAAGAATGCCATATGTAATCAATCAGAATTCCAGAAATAGGTTGCTTACAGCATTCATTCATTAACTCATTTCCTTAAAAAGTAAAAAGATCAAAAATAGAAGAAAATCCAGATGTGAAATCTCATGTGCTGTCTTAAAAAAGCAGGGGGAGGAGTTATAAGGTCTAAGGTATGCCAAAGCACGATATATTTGCTAAGAGTCATCAAATCATGTGAAAACAATGATAAAGACACATGCCAAAAAGAAAAATGAAGAAAGAACAATAAAATACATTTAAAAAGGCATTTGACTTTGCAATCTTTATTCAAGGTTAGATAGCTCCTTTTTTACAGAAAAAAAGCTGGAGCATTTACCTGTTTCTTTCAGATAGACTACGATAAAAATTGTCTCTTTTTTTACTTTTAGATTTTGTGTGATAAGTTTTATGGGGCAATAACTCCCTTGTGCCTATTGCAAACCAAACTTGAACTCCTTTATAAACGCAGACAAGACATGGAGGGTATTGCCCTTGACATCCAAGTCGTGTATCCCAGGCTCCATGCCCGCTAATTATATTACAAAACAAAGTTAAATGCAATCTGGACACATACAATACAGGTTAATATGCAACTTTTATAAATTAAATGAAAAATGATCCGTTTAACATGTATTACTGAAATTACCATTCTACAGGGTGTAAAAGATCCACAAATACCATGAAATTGCTTATGATTATTTTATTCAGTTTAACTCTTCAGTGAATAAAAGTATTACTATTAAAAAATGTTTTGGCCACTCTCAAGGTCCAGCCTCAGGACAAAACAATATTCATGAAATCAGCAGACTCACTCACCACACACAAACCCATTCATCATTTGGTGGAGGGAAAAAATAAAGAAGGTGAAGTTTGGTACAAATGCTACAAGATAAAAGCAATATAGTCAATAAAAATAAGATGAACACCACTCTTGTTTTTAGGGTGAATGCCAAGTAGGGTCTTGAAAGTTCTTGAGATCTGAGGGTTTAGTAAAATTTTATTATCTAAATTATTGCTGTTAAAAGGATGGCTCATATACATGAGCCTACTTCTTTAATATCCCTCAATAACAGAGACCTTCCTCACCAAGCCCTTCTCTCTTCTAATGAATTCTTTGAAGGTGCCCTGACCATTCACTGTACAGGCAGTCACAGCAGTGAAATCGCAAAACATACTGCCTGATTTCTGTACATTTTTGATATTTTGGAGAGAGATTGCTAGAAGGAGTAATTGAACTGTAAACATTGTCTGCATACCAAGTTGGAACTTTGCTCATGATGAGAAGGTGCAATTGATGGGAAGAGAGTGGGTAGCTTTGTGAAATGAAATCTCTTCTAGGATCAGGGAATGTAGACCAGCAAGTGTTTGATATGAAATGCGGGCACCAGTTTGTTAATAATGTTTGAATACTGAAATGCATTTCAATATTGAAATGAGTGACCTACAGAAGAAGGACTTTCAACCCTAATATTGAGTAGCAGAATCAGCCTTCTCAGAAACAGAACTTAAAAGGTATTTAATAAACAGTATAGCTTTTTGTTACTTTAAAAGTAATAAAAATATTGTAATTTCTTTCAGAGAAGGTTTGTTATTTGTTAACTTCTACTTGAAAAACAAAAGAGTAACAGATTACATGAACTAAATCCAGATTTCCCTAGTTCCTTAGGCAATGGTGACCCAATTGGAATCCAAGACGAAATCCAGGGTCCACTTTTGCCTCCTGTCAGTTTATCCATGTGCCAGGAAAACAGGATTTGGTCCCACATGTAACTTGCACTGACATCTGTGGGAGCTTAGTGGTTGCAAGTGCTGCGGATGCAAGCCTTTGTCCTTGCACAGTTTCCACTATGAGATACGTAGAAATACTGAAGGGTACAGATGTGAACCTGTAACTAATCTGTTCCAGTTTAATGACAGCCATCATTTCCTTCACACTGCAATAATTTTGTATTTAATATGTGGTTATAGTATCACCTTCTTTCCAAAGGCATCCGATACTGTTTATCTTTGCACAGAAATATATACTATCGGTTCTAATCCACTAATAGACAGTATTAACCAGTTTGTTTAAACAAAAAAAATCTTTGTAAACCAAAATTAATAGTTTCACTGAAACTAGATCCTCATCTGTAGCCATTGACTCAGTAGGCTTTGGATCAGGCCCTAAAACAGGCGTGGGTGAGAGCTAGCTAATATATCAGTCTCACATCCAGGAACTGTAGAGGATATAGAGACTGAAGTTGCACAGACTTTGTAAATATTTATTACAAAATGGACATCAAGTTTTTTAGTTCAAATATATGATTTACTATAGGGAATGTACATAAGTTTGTGACTGTGTCAATGTACCTTTGATGTCTAAGAAGTCTTCTTTTGTAAGTACATTCATATGTACATTTTGACTGTCTGTTCCAGAGTACTAAAAAATGCAGATGAAAAGTGGTATTAAAAAGTAAAGTACATATTGTTAGTTTAAAATAGCCCAATAATGTAATTTTTCATGCCAGCATGTTTGCTGATTTTGTTGTTGTTTTTTTTTTCCCCTGGTTCTATGCATGATAACGGCATTACAATTTAAGAATTTATGGCAAGTCAGGAGTAACTAGCTACAACTGAGATTTAAAAAGCTCATTATTGTCTTGGAAATGAATATGAAGTGGCATCCATAGATCTGTTTGTTACTCAGTTTGGAAAAAAAAAAGAAAATGGCCCAAAAAAAGCTGAATACATTATTTCACACATGAATAAATGGTTTGAGTGCTGGGCATTGAAAGAACCTCACAATTTTGGTTATATCAACAAAAGATTACTGTCTTTGTGTGTGATACTGAGTCTTTGTGTGTGATCTTTTCCCGCATCTAAAGGGCTTCTGCAACTGTTCATGTAATGGTCCAGCATGCAAGGTTTATTTTGAGTGCCTAAAGGGTGAAATGGAGTTCTGATAATCCTCTGGTTTAAAGTTTCTTTACCAGGGTCTCTAATCTACAATTGTTTCTCTTTTGCTCTGGGTCCTCTCTACTGGAATTTAAAGGAAAGAAAGAAAGAAAAAAAAATTAAAAAGAAAAAGCAGTTTATGTCTGGAACAGAAGAAAACTCTGCAAGTGAATGAGGGCTTGATTTAACTTTCCCTGAGAAAACCCCAGGGACTGGCTTCTTAAAGAACATCAAACAGCAACAAGGACAAGGAAAGAGGGAAACACAGCAAGAAAGAAGAATTAGAGAGATGTTTCTGTATACCTTAGGTGCACAGAAGATGGGCAATAATACTACTTGTTTCTGATGAAAGACTACTCGGTCACACAAGTGCTATGAGGAACCTCTAACCTCAGTAGTTTAAGCTGCATTCCTGAAAAAATTATCTTCTAAAATTTAATCCAGCCCACCAAATAGACTGGTATAATTACATTCCCTAATACAAATATATGGGATTGGAATTCAGTATACAGCTCATTGTATATACCTAATTTCACAAAATAGGCTATACAATATACATATGATGATTTTAAATCCTCGATATTAATGAAAAAAATAAAAATATTTGTGATGCTATTTTGTTTTTTTTTAAGATTGAGGGCTTTAATATTAAAGTTGGTGTGGTTTTTTTTTAATATTTCTACTAACTTTTACCATTCATATGTTATCTATAGTTTTGCCAACACAAGATAGATTTTCTCTGACAGAATGGTTATACCACTGTGATGTGTAAACAAACATCACCTAATCAGCTGAGAAGAAACAAGTGGTTTTAGATTTCCTTCCAGTAAAACTAAGTTTGTAGTGTTGGAGGTGCTAACAGGAATCGGCAGCCATGGCCCCTTTTTGCTTTTCTTGATTCTTGTAAGTTACGTTCTTAAAAGTGGTTGTTGAGCCTCTGTACAGTGGATTTGTTTCCTAAAAAAAAAAAAAGAAGCAAACACAAACAGAAGAAAAGGGAGTCAGGCAATGTTTAACTCATTTTGTCATAGCTTCAGCTGCAAGCAAAAGTAGCTGCATACTGTTGCCTTGAGTGTCCCTCTGCAGTAAAGGGATCATTTTGGTCCATGATTCCTGACCCAGCGTTACAGTGCAGGTTGTACATGCACCAGATAGTATCACTATGCTTCCCGATGTGCAGAAGATGATTTGTATGCTACTGTCGGTTGTACAGAGGAGAATCGAAAAGAATGCACACAAATCACTACTGCTACCACCAATGATAATAATGAGGAAATGATACATCATCTCACCACCAGCCAACCGATAACTCAGCCCGACTCCTGCTTTCCGGCTCACTCCCAGTTACATCCTGGGCCCTGTGGTATGATGTACATCACTTAGCAACAACCGATGATTTGCACTGTACCAGTGCTACTTTGTGAGAAACTCAGGCCAGAGACCTGCCTGGCCCAGCAATGTACTTCCAACAGCGGGCAAATCAGGCTGCCAAGGAAAAGCTGACACACATTTCACAAATCTCCAGGGTCAGAGGGGCTGTCTTCCCCTTATGGATTTGTCTGTAGACATTTTGAATCCATGCAAACTTTTATCATCCAGAATATCTTTGGAAGCAAATGGTATGCCCTAAGCACGTATTGTGTAATAATGCCTTTTGACGTCTTTGGAGCTTGGTATCTCACTAATATGAGAAAGCCAGCATACCACTTGTCCTTCTGACACCCACCAAAAATGCTTACTCAACATACTTTTTTCCAAAGAACCTCAGAAGTCTTAAAGATTTTGCAAAGAACAAAAAAGCCAACGGCAGAAAGGGAAGAAGAAAAGGGAACATGTGGTAAAAGCTTGCATTAAGCACCCATAAGCTATAGATAGGAAATATGGCCTGAATTTTTTTGTCCTTTTACCTACATTTTGGACAGCCTACATTCATTGCTGCTCTGTGTAAGTCAGCTTACATTATTACACAGGGGTCACCAGTAATGTCTCTTTCCTAAAATGGGCTCTGTTTCTGGGAAGAGGGGTACACCTCTGATAATCACATAGGCAGTGAATAACTTTGCTAAGATTACTCAAAGTTAAGGTACTAATTAAAAAAAGAACTAATAGAAAATGTTATCTACATGCTTTGACATGTGGAAGGAATTAAACCAGGAGATCAAATTCTAGCTATTTTTCATACCTAAAAAAATCCTAATTGCACTTTATGGAATACTGTATGTAGTGAAAAGCTACAAGTAAAATCTATCAATGTAAAAGAACAAAACCAAGACAGATGATTTTAAAGGCTGTTGTGCACCATGCAACTAAATTAAAGAATCTTGTATAAAATTCATTCATAACATACCGTTTGCCATTTAACGTTTGATTTTTCCACTTCAAACTTGGCCACCTCTTTTCGGTCCTGAACTGACACCAGTAGTTTCCATGTACAAAGTAAAACAATGCCAATGAGAAGGATAGCAAGGATGACACCCACCATTATCACTGGAATATTTGGAAGCTGTGGGCAATCTGTGGAAACAAAACCAATTATGACTGTGGATATCTAATCAATAAATTCTAGGCAATCAAAAACAGCCAAGAGGCATGCTGGGCTTTTCATTTACTGAGAACTATGCATGCCTTTTACTTCAAGTCCATGTTGTTTTTCTCCTGTTAGCTGCTAAACTGGCTAAGTGTGAAACTGGCTGAAAAATACTGCATTAAAATGTTACAAAAATTAATTGCTAACTTCTTCCCCTGGTAGTTTACTGTGTCAGTTAACAGCTGCTGGATAGAGCTTTTCTGGAGGCCTTATCTCAGTTCACGTTTGCACACATTGCAGCCACCGCAGCACAGTAGCTTCAAGGCCCAGGAGCTGAACAGCATATGACTACACAGCTGGTTATTGTAGAGTGATGGGAGGGCCACTACACAGGGTTTAATGAGCTGGGTCTCCCTTAAGATATTTATTTCACTTTTTCTTTTATTCAGATCTACATAAAATGCATAGTAAATGTATTTAATAAAGAGAAAAATCTTACTCTTAAATTCTTGACTCTTAGGGGTGTAGTTTACAAAGGGATGTGCTTCTTTAGTACTAGCTTTGTTATAACTGTCTTTGGTTTTGTGTAGGTTACAGTTCCAGCAGAACACTCTTCTGGTGGAAGCTGCTTTTATCTGTGCAGTGAAATCACTTTTATTCTAACATGTATGCTAGACAAAGGCTTCAGAAAGGGTTAAAAAATCAGTGCCATTTGTGCTAACAGAACAAGGCTACAAATCTGCTTTCTCTAAAACTAAAAAACATTTAACCCTGAGACACTGGGTGTGTCAAAACAAGCAAACAAACAGAAGTATTTTTATTGCCTGGAAACTAAAGTGTTTGGCAGATGAAAAGCAGTGTCTGTGTTCTTTCCTGTCCTACATGATTAGAAGCTTTAATGAAACATCAGTAGTGAAATAGCAGCAAATAAAGTAGCAATAAAATGAAAGGATATAAAGAGATCTGTTGAATATCAGTTATGTAAAATATTCAAAACTTAATGGTACTGGAACAATAAAGGTAATTATAAATGTGTTCATCAGGTATACCCACTTAGATTGTCTTGGATATTTGTCCATCTTCAAAATATATGTAATTTCAAAGTGACTTATAGTTTTCTCATATAATGCAAAAGACATTTGGTATTATCATCTTTGATTTACACAAGGATTTAGAAAAAATAACTTACTCTTGCAGCCCAGTGATCATTCTGACAATCTTTCATTAAAGGCCAAGTATTTATTTTACTAGTGCATGAAACAAGTACTTGAGGAGGTGGTCTTCTAGCTGGGCAGAAGTGAGCTATAAACACAAGGAAGTTCTGTGCTGCTTAAAAATGCTCAGCTTCTAGATAGCTCACCCTGCCTGCATTTTTAAATTTGATTTATGTAGAAAAAGCAATATTCACCGCTTACCTTTCTGTTCTATGCTATGAATGATTGTCCTTCCCTGTTCATCCACAGCCAGTAGAAATGTGGTTATACATTCATTTTCCCCCTGCAAAGAGCAGGGAATGGATTTATCCTCTGAATAATCTGCAGAGGGAAGGAGAGAAAGTCATTGTTCAAATCAGATGAAATTTAACATGTAATAACAAAAGAGACTGCTGGCATTGTGTTTGTCACAGCCTCATCTGTGGATGGTAAAGAGTGAAGGATGAAAGCAGAAATAACCTCAGAATTTCTACAAAATTTAACAACCTTTCTTTTAACCCAAGCTTTGTTTTGTTTCCAGTTTTTCACTTCTATCTTCAAAGAACAGATTCAGGTGTTGTCAATCTGCACTGACCACATAGTGTACTGTGAATTTCAATGAATTGGAAGTGCTTCCAAGATGCTTTACCACCAGCTGTATAGGAAATGTAATAGTCCCCAGTTACAGGACAAAGTAAACAGTATGTTCTCTTTGGTTTACAGCTACTCTTACCGTGTCTAGATTATGTTTCAGAAGTAGACATACATACAGCAATGGATAACGTTAAAAGGGCTGCATTTATTTCTTCCACAATAGCCCTCTCAAAGATTAGCGTGTCCAGCACTGTCACAATGGTAAATATAGATTAATAACAGAAACTGTGATTCTAGGATCTTTGTAATGTGATTCTGAGGGAAGCAGATAAAAAGTGATCTGAGATGACACTCTGGCCCCATTTATTTGTCTCTCAATTTGATGCAGATCTGCACAAAAAATTAATCTATATATTTTTTTTTTTTCCATATAATTTCTAACCAGGAAGCCTTGTCGCCTGAGAAAACTTCATCCACAGGGAACAGAGAGGCAGGAGGAAGCTGGCTCTAAGAGACAATGTAAGGCAAATGACTGAAAATCGAGACTGCAGGTCCAGAGCCAGAAATACCGTAATTTGAAGCCTAACAATTACATAGTATTTTTATAGAGCAAAACATCTGACCTCACAATACCTTTGGGGCTGAAGACTTACTATATTTCCGTATAACCCACTATTTTTACAGCACTGGAAATCTAGGTATGCTTTTCAATACATTTTTTAGAAAAACTTCTTAGGTTTTGTTTTTAGAGGTAAGAAAAACCAGTAAATTTCTCAAGCATTTCCTTAAAAATAGTTGTCACTTTCCATTATTTCTTAGCCATTTAAAACTCTTTCTAAAATTTCATAAGCAACTGTGCTGAAAATCTTAAGTTCTCAAAATTAGTAATGAAATACAAAGCAGGAATCAGACAGGATATGGATTTTTAAAAGCGCTTAAAAAAGTGCTTTTAAAAAAGTGCTCACTTTTCTTTCTGGTGTTTTTGTCTATATTGCTTATTGTCAGAAAGTCTGGTCTTACAGACAGCACTGCTGAGCACCATAGAAAATATGAAAGTATAAATAGGGGACTGCCCTAGAGACCTTTTCTCTGCTTGTTATAAAAAGATAATCACATCTGGGTAGATTTTAATGGAAACATGCTAATGATTTGTGATACTCTTGTACTTAACCTGTTGCCTGTCCTGAGTGGCAGAGCAATGTGTTGTCTATCAAGGTGACAGACAGACAAGACTTGCTGATTTAACAAGATTTGGTTTTGTCAGAAGAGCCACAAACTGCAGACTGAGTGTGCTGATTTAATGGCACTCATTACTAGTCACAACTCCAGTAATGCTGTCACAAGTTTTGCAATATTGGTTGTTTCCCAATTCTTTCAAGCAAGAACATCCAGAGAATATTAGCTTGCTCAAAAAAAAAAAAAAAAAAAGGAAAAGGATAGTTGTTAGCTATCCTGAAGGCAGAGACAAACTTGCAGGCATATTCCAAATATCATCCAAAAGGCAGTAACTGCAAATATATTAGTTATATCTAAATTGTAACTTTTAATTTCAGACCAAGTGGAGAAGAAATCTGATCGTGTGCGAGGATGAAGAAATTAAAGCAAAGATGCCAGTTCAAGCCATTCAGAATGCTGCTTACGCTTAGTATTTTCATTTCTCTGATGTTATTTTTAGGATGAAGGATCACTAAGAGAGACTACTGCATACATGATTTTCAGTTCATCAGCACTAAAATTTGCCTAGGTAGGTAAACTGCTGTAATTTGCACCTGTGTAATTTTCTGCATTCTGCAGTAAACCATCATACTTCTCCCACTTCTGCCTGCAACCTAATTCCATTAATTTCAGTGGTATTTAAAATCACTGGAAGAATAATTGTGTAAGAGTGGTAAGCTGGAGCTCCAAGGTGCAAAAGACTATTTCTTAGCAGATACTTAGATAAAAGATTCAACAACAACAAAAAATTGACTGTAAATTTAAATGTCATTATACCCTTTCTTATTTGTCCTTTGCTCAACAAAATGCTGTTTTTGAACAGCTTCATGTCACTTTGAGTCAGAACAACAGAGCAGTGCTGACACAGGGATTTATTCAGGCTCTAGCATCCAGTTTGTTGCTGTACTGGGAATTTTTGTGGTGTCAACACTCTAGGGTAGGAAAAACTCAGTTTCTCTGAGGAAAGTGTAAGAGTCCATACTGGGCTTGTGGCAGAAGCAGCCTGGTGCCCTGTGGCTGGGGTGGTGGCAGGAGCCACTTTAGTAATCGGTTCTTCCTGGGTAGCAAGTAGAGCAACAGGGGCTCCTCTTACACCCATCTGGCAAAGGAGGATTATCCCTATTTAATATTCAAATCTTAAAAATGGCTGAAAATAAAGACTCAAAAGTGATGCCTGCTGTGGAGATAAGCCCAGTAAATGTGAACCCATCAGCACCTCTGGAGTTGCTGTACCATCCTGTGTCCTACTGGATCCCCAGGCAGGCTCAGAGGCTAAAACATGCATTCCCATGAAAAAGGAAAATGCAAAGCCTACGCTTTTTTTATTGCTCCACATTTCCAGTCATTGGGTTGCGACATACGCATGCAAAAGAGAAAGCAAATCTTTAAAGTGCTAATATTTTATTTAACCTTGAGCTATTTCTAGTTTTCAAAAAGCCTTGAAGCATTAAAGAAACTGAAATATAAACCAGAAAGCAGCAGTATGCTACTGGATGAAGCTGCTCAATAATCTGTCTGAAATATGTGGTGGGCTAGTTATACCACTTTCAAAATCCTTTTTTTTTTTGTTTAGGTAAAACAATTTTGATTTCAGGATAAGTGCTTTACTACTATTCTGAAAACTAATTTTTTTACCTTTCGGGACTTCTTAATGAGGCAACCTTTCTGCCAAATCCTCTGAGCTATTATTACACAAGCATTTAAGATGAAACAGAGTTTGCAACAGCCTCTTCATTTGTTTTTGGGGGGTTTTTGAGGGGTTAGGATGGGAACAGTTACCCAGCCCTCACTACAGCAGTTGCTGTAACTGCTGCAAATAAATCTTAAAGTGGTAACTAACAGTCCCAATCAGCGAAGCACAGGACTTGCAAAAAAGGAAATAAGCAGGAACAGGAGATGATGTTGTCATGCTAATATTCCTGTGACCTCTGTGTATGTGAACAGAGCCACGTAAGCAACTGTTTCTGCTCTTGATTATTATTCATTATATTTGAAAGTAGAATATATTATATATTCCTAGCTACAAATATATGCCATCTGGCAACAACAACCCGAAAACTTTACTAAATAGTGCTTATATGCTTTTGAAGCTTGCAAGGACAATTTTATGTTTACAAACAAATATTGATGTCTAGGAAGGCAAAGCATGATAATAATTTTAATAAAACCGCAACAGTAGAATTAGTTTTCATTAAGGCAACATTTGCAACTTTTGAGCTCTGTATTATGGAGTAATGACATCAAAACCAAAAGGCAGATCTTTGTTGTACATCAGTGAAATTTATGCATGCATGCATGCATGCAGCTCTGAATGGGCTTCCAACAGTTTGTAGGCACAAACCTTAGATGTGCATACAGCATTCTGCATTGTCATCCTAGTTCTTACATATGTCTTACTTAATGCTTATCCACATCTGTGATGTGGATAGATTGTAGCTATGTCCTGCTTCACCTAACAATTGCATTTTACCATGCGATTGAGACCAGAATTGCCATTAGAATAAGTACAGACTGCCTACTGAACAGGCAAGTCCCTTCCGCTACACTAAAGAAAAAGATGCACTATTTCAGTTAAAGTTTGGTGGGGTTTTGGTTGTGTTTTTTTTCTTTTACTTTTTTTTCTTTTCCTGAGAGCAATATTTTATTCAAGGTTAATTCTTACTCCACAAATTCCAATTGATGGAAGGCAGTTTTGAATTAAAGCAAACAACTGAAAGATGTACTTAGTCTCTGGAATACTAGAAAAGTCTTTGCCACAGGTTAAAGGGCTGTGTCTAGTTGCCAGCTGTAATTAAGAGTCTGCATAAGGACTGGAGCCAGGTTTTGCATTCGTATGATAAAAAAAGCCACACTGGAGCTCATGGTACAGGCATGACATAAACTGAGGGGCCTTCATTAGCCACTGATTTATTAAATCCTATGCTTTTTACATAAACTGTTTAGAAAGCAGGCATGATCCAATGAGTTAACCGGGAAGGATAATACCAGCTGTGGTCTGTATTTCCTACTTACCACAGAACTGTAGAAAAGCAGCAATTGCCTCATAAGCCTTAATACAATTCCATGGCAGAACAACGAGGCTACTTTCTGCTACTGAAAGTGGAAACTATCACTAATCACACACACACAGAAAAGGAAGACTGAGTGTACAAACCCTTTGTGGTGCTGACAGTTGCATCAACCAATTTGCATTTTTCACTGCATTCTCCCGGTGACTTGTCATCGGAAGCCAAGTGACATTCCACACAGCTCCTGTATAAAATAATTCAGTAGCTCATCAATCTCTGCCTGTCACAAAGCAACAATATAAGAGCCTGAGCGTATGCATCTGCATTTTAAAAGGAAGCTAAACAAAAGGTCTTGTACTATGGATACTGTAGTTCTCAGAAATATGATATGTATTGCCACCAACACCCCCCCCCCCCCCCAAATAAAGGTATTGTGGATAAGCTCTTTCTTGTCCTCTTTTCTCTCCCAGCTAATTAGCTACCAGACAGAACCCCAGGCAACATTATTCATGTCGGTCTATCAAAGACATGGAGTTACTCACACATAACATTCATTTTCAAAAAGAAATATTCTGAACTACGCTTACGCTAAATACCAGCCAAAGGAATGTCTATCGGATGAACAATATCTGAAATAGACTTCAGAGAGATCAAGCTGGGGCACCTACTATAATTCTTCCTTTGCTTAAACTCTGTTGAATAATGTATTTAAACACTATTCAGGTATCTCAGCAGATGTCTCTTGAATGCAATTATTTGTCTCAGGAATTATTTACTTAGATCCTAATTATAATAATGCAATTTACTGTAAAATTGTTTACTTTATTTAATGGTGAAATGACTGCAATAGTCTTTAAAAACACAGAATCTAAACCAATTCCTTTAGAAATCATTGAAAATCTTCCCAGAAATTCAGTGAGGATTTTAATAAATCCAGAGTTTATTCATGGAAAAAGAAAACAGTGAAATATTCATATATGAAAATTTCTGATGCAAAATGTATCTTGCTGATTCTTTACAAACAACTTCAGCTGAACTGATGGGCTGAGACTCTGAGAAGCAGCCTGAAGGACTGATTGCAAAAAGAAAAGAGAAAAGAGAAGAAAAGAAAAGGAAAAGAAAAGAAAAGAAAAGAAAAGAAAAGAAAAGAAAAGAAAAGAAAAGAAAAGAAAAGAAAAGAAAAGAAAAGAAAAGAAAAGAAAAAAGAAAAAAGGAGGAACTGCAACAAAACATCCCCAAAACCCTTGGCCATCTCCTGTTGCACAGAGTTACATATATCCGTGGGAATATGCTGAGACTGCAGAGATTATCTTCACAAGATGCAGATGACCTTACCACTCACTCTGGAGATGGCCAAATAGTAAAAGCAAGCAGGTAATGGGATAGCCTCTATCTCATGGAGAAAAATTCAGTGTTGTTGGTGTTTTTGTCATATTTGCCATGTTTCTCATACAACCACTCTTTTCCTCAGCTGCCTAGCCATTGATCTCCATCCCCTCTGACCTGGTCTTTCAGCTTTCTCAGTTACCCTACTCAGGTATTCCCAATGTTTTCTCTCTTTTGACTTTCCTTGCCTTGTATTTCAGCAAGGAAAAACACTGAAACAGAGAGAAAAGATCTAACACTGCATGCAATATACATGTTTAAATAGGCTAATGTAATGCCCATTGTGTAACTTTATATTTCTTACTCTCTGCCAAATTGGGCAGAAGAAAGCAGCAGCATTATCCCTCATGTTTAGAGTAGTTGCATGCAGAATTTCTCTTTATTTAAAGCTTTGAACAAACCTATAGGCTCACTTTTGTGGGTCAAATTCAGCACTAATGTAAGTGGCAATTTAATCACATGCCATAGAAGAGTTTCTCATCTCAGATACAGGATTGGCTGCAACAGCAAACATGCAAAAAACACTGGTGAAGAGTGGCTGTGGAAGAGAAATGAGCTTCAACTGAGTAAGTAGACATGACATCGTCATGAAACATTAATGAAACTTAAACTGACTTGGCACTCAGCAAGCAAAAATAGGGGCATTAATAACGCATTCTGTGGAGCCTGATTTGTCTTCTAGCTTAAATTTCTACTAAAACCTGCTTATTTTGGGCTGACTTTAGCCCTGCAAGAGTTCACAAAATACAAGCATAAGCATGGGTTTACTTTGAGTGGTCAGCTTTATGTCACACATATTTTTGGTTGCTTTTCCTATCATGCACTGTAGCATACACCATGCAACACAGCAGGAAAGTTACATAAATTTTGTATGCTCAGTGAACAGAAGACACTTGACCATTTACAATCAATTTATCATCAAATTATATATGACATACAGCTACCCACTGATTTCATCCCCAGACTGCAACCTAATTTATCATAGTTGGGCCTCTTTGATTCACCCAAGTTAACTGAATTTGGACTATGAATTTCACATGTATAAAGCCTGAGCAGGCAGTGTGACCTTATTCATAGGCATGAGAACAGTAATACAAATGCCATTTTTTTCTGCGAGTCCTCATTTTTGCTGTATCAGCAATACTGAGATGATTTCAATCTGTACTGTGAACTGGAAGGAGATTCATCTGGTTTTATCTGATGTTATCACATAAAGTCACCATTCTGGTTAATTGGAGAGCCAGGGACAGCAGTGGAAGCGTGATGCTTTACTTCTGCTGCTTGAAGAGGATTAAATTGTTTTCCAGAAAGCTCTTTTACAAGAGCAATACCAATAAATGGTAGATGTACAAGTCATGACTATGCCTCTCAAAGGGCAAAAAAGCTCTTGGGTTCTGGTCTGTAAATCCAGTTTACAGTAGTGACAGTAAGCACACTGCTGAGGCAGCATAGGAAAGAGACACCTGGATGATACAAACATAAAACTAGTACATTACCTCCTGGAACTGCAAGGGTCACCGCAGAGAGGACATTTTTCACAAGTCTGGCCTGAAGCTCCTGGATGGGTGCAAGCACAAGACCCACAGACACATTCGCCTCTCCCATTGCACAGTGTCCCATCCTCAGCAATGCAGGCTCTAGTGTCAGTTGTGCAATTACAGTATTCACCAGTCCATCCACTGTGGCACATGCATTCCCCACAGTCACAGTCACCATTACCTGGAAAAAACATTTATTATACTTCAGATCAGTTTCTTAGTATGAATCTGGATGATAGCCTTTGAAATAGTTCTCCTTAATAGCAGATATTTTCCCCTCTCCAACTCTTCTCACTCTTAAACGTCTTTCTTCTTCCCACAGCATTTGCAGTGTTAAGCCAGAGGATCAAATTTTCACTTAGACTGGCTGTAAGCCAAATGCAGCTCCATTCTCTTCACTGGAGTTCTCCACACAGATCGTATCTCCCAACAGTACACAACCTAATCAGTAAATCCTCTTTCATTTATATCAGCAGAATTTCAGCCTATCTATTCAGCACTCTTGTTGCTGGTTCCTGACAGTTTAACTATTCCCATTGTTTTAGTAGAATCACTTCTGATTTATAATGGCATAGCCCAGGAAAACAATTATAAAAACAAATTCTCAAATTCTGATTATATCCTACTAACAAGGACACTAAGGCAAACCAAGAGTAATAGAGGTTACTGGGTTAAAATTCTAAAAATATCAGAATTATCCTAAAAAGTGATTAAGATTAATCAATTAATATTGCTATGCTTTGATAATGATGTCGGAGTGAAATTGTACACTGTCAATACACTTACCTAATGTCATGTATGTATGTCAGATGTATGTCAATATACTCACCTAAACTTTCTTGGAGCTACAATCATCAATAGCCATTAAAAGTCTGATTGAGTGTGATGGTAGCCAATATGGCCCAGTAAAGCCATACCAATTAGACTAGCTATGGAGTGGTTAAAGGTGTCTCATTTTTAAACTTGAAAACAGAGTTAAAAATTGCTTCTTGTTTTAAGATCACTCAGAAATGGTAAAGTACACTTTATGCAGCATTGAGTGCAAGTGCAGATATGATGCAAATGCAGATTCACAAGCTCATAGCTAAGAGCTAGACAATAAAACTCTAAAATGCAGACATGAAAAATACCATCAAGGGACCATACCTGCACACTGGAGCCCTCTGTGTCTCACACATGAGAAGTCATCACATTCACAGCGTGGCCCATACACCTTTCCATACAGGGAGAGGTGGCAGACGCACTGCCCGCAGTAGCAGTCACCTCTCCCGCTGCAGGAGCTCTGCTCTGCTGAGCCCTTGCAGGAGCTGGTGTTGAGGGAGCTCTCGTCACATTCACAGTGTGGCCCCACGTACCCTGGGCTGCAGATGCACACCCCGCACTCAAACGATCCTTTCCCGTTGTTGCATTTTGGGCTGTTCATCTCAGCCTTTGCCTGACAGCTACAGCCGCACTGGGGATCAATCTCCATTTCCAGCATGTCACTGAGCCCCACTGGTTTTATCACAATATGCCTTCTGTTTTTTTCACAAGAGGAGAGACTTACAGTCAAGTTGAAAGAGACCTGGAAGAGAAGATGGTGTCTGTTTGGAGCTGCAGCACACGTAGCTCTGCAGGGTACTCTGGAAGCACGTGCAGAGGACAGAACAGGAGGGTCACAGATACCACCTACTTTTCTGTAACTTTTTCAGAGGAAGATTTCTTAATAAAGAGCTAACTCTCTGCCTGGGTGTCTTACCTTCTCTGGGCTTCAAGTCTTTTGTGCTTTACTTACTGTGTCTCCCACTTTTACATGAGAACATTTCCTCTGATGTGGAAAAAAGGTCCCATTGTTACAGATGGCTGTGAAAGAGAGATTGAGACCTTCTGTCTCTCCCAGGATCTCCAGCTCCACCTCGGACCTCAGCTCCTTAAAGGAAAAAGGTGTGAGAAGAATGGAGCAATAACACTGCCAAGAGCACTACTGCTCCATGTCTGTGGAAGATAGACTGTAACTTACCCTGACTTACACAGGTAAATCTGTGGATTTGGCACTTTATTTACAGAACTTCTCTATTGCAAAAAAAAAGGGGAATGAACAAAACCAGTGCTTACAGAACCAGCTTTCAGTGGGAAGCAATGGTAGTATCAGTTTAATATCCACTATCACGGGGCTTATTTCCTGCCCTTGCAGGAGAATAAATTCAATGTTTTATTAAATCATCTTTCATTATTAAGTGCTCTGCTGGCTGATACAGGTTTTCCTTCAGCTCTGGTCTTACTGAGGAAAGGATTTGTCTCCCTGATTGCATTGCTAGGACTGGGCTTTTCCTGATTAGCTAGCCTATGTCAATATTGCTCCCTCTTTATCTCTTCTGGTAGAATTTCCTGGCAGGCTGTTTCACAAAGACAGGCAGGGTAGAAGAGGAGGAGCCGCACTATGTTAAGAAGAACCTTGGATGTATAAAAGTCAACTGTGGTGATTGCAGAAGTCCTGTTGAATGCCTGTGAGTCAAGATCAGAGAGGTTGTTTCCAAGGGGAATCTTACGGTAGGCATCTGCTGCTGACCTCCAAACCAAGGTGATAAGGCCAATGAAGCAATATTTGGGTCACTTGAGCAAGCGTCAGATCAGCAGAACCTGGTTCTTATGGGTGACTTCAGACACCCAAACATTTGCTGGAAGAACAATACAGCAGCTCACATGTCATCCATCAAGTTCCTGGAATACACAGAGAACTGCTTCCTCATACAAATGTTAGATGTACCAACAGGAATGAGGCACTGCTGGACTTGCTACTCACGAACAGAGAAAACCTGCATTGTAATGTCTCAGTGATAATATTGGCTGCAGTGATCAAAATATTGTGGAGTTTGGGATCTGGCTGAACCTGCTGAAGGCTAGTACTAAGAGCAAACTTTAGCTCATTCAGAGCTCAGTTGGGAGGGATTCCATGGGAAGTTTGTATGGAGTATAGAGGAGCTAGTGAGTGCTGGGAGATTTTCAAGACTGCTCTCAAAGCACAAACCCAGTTCATCACCTTTAAAGATAAGGGAAGTAGGTGGAGCAAGAGACGTGCTTGGCTTAACTGCAAGCTTCTGAGTCTGCTCAAAACCAAAAGAGAAGTGTACCGGAGATGGAAAAGCAGACAATTAACCATTGAGAACTGTAAAGGCATTGTCAGGGTGTGAAGTTAGAAAAGCAAAATCTCAGCTCTGATTGAAACTGGACAGAGATGCCAAAAACTACAAGAAAGGGTTCTTCAGGAGCTATACATTGAGAGGGTCCAGAGAAGGACCACAAAGATGATCAAAGGACTGGGAAGCCTTCTGCATGAAGAAAGGCTGAGAGAACCGGGTTTGTTTAGCCTTGAGAAAAGAAGGCTCAAGGGAGACCTTATCATCATGTTCCAGTATTTAAAGGGTAGCTACAAAGAAGATGAAGAATTCCTGTTTTACAAGGAGTCACGGGGAAAGGACAGGAGGTGATGGGTACAGGCTTATCCCAAGGAGATTTTGATTGGACACAAGAGAAAAATTTTTCACAATGAGACCAATCAGCCATTGGAATAATCTCACCAGAGAAGTGGTGAATTCCCCAATGTTGGATGCTTTCAAGATTCAGCTGGATGGGATGCTGGGCCATCTTGTCTAGACTGTTTCCCTTCCAACCTGGTATTCTGTGACTGTATGAATCAAACCTTACAATCTCTTTCACAGCAGTGCAGGCTCTGAGCTCAGTTTTGCCTTAGTGTGGGGCCTCCATGAGCTAGCCCAATGTTTCCTGGACCAGAGCCAGAGTTGAGTGGCATGGTGAGCTCCCACAGCCAGGAGGCTTGCTCCCTTCCTTTCTTCTGATGAAAATTCCTGCCTCACGAGCTCTTGGTGGTATTTCAAGTTGTATTCAAAAATGTTTTCATTTCTTAAATCAATCTGTCTAATCAAATTTCATTTCTTAAGTGAAAATCTTACTTCCTGAACTCTCTCATACCAAGTTTTTATATTCAGCTATCTAAAATATTATATAGCAATTTTGCTTACACAGCTTAACCTTAATCTGAGCCTATAGCACACCATGGGGAAATTCCCTATGACTTCACTAGGCTGTGGATCCAGTAAGTGGAATCTTTTCAAAAGTACCTTAGCAATTGCTGAGAAAAAGTCTCACTGGCTTGGCTCATACAGCTTAACTGCTTTACAAAATACCCCCATGAAGAGCTTGCTGACCTTCCTTCAGTGAGTCATTCTAGTCAAGGCATCAGGATGATTCACTGGAATAGAAGTCTGGTGTGGTAAAACAAACTAAAAGTAGAATAGGTCTAAACCTGCATGGATGACAACACCCTGTCCTATGTATGTGTTCTGGCTTCCCTGGAAATTTGTCTTAGGGTTGTCTTTGGTGGTAAAGTCTTTTCATTTGGAAAGCCTTGTCAGTAAACCAAAGCAAGACACAGTCATGCAATACCCAGTGCTCTTTCCAGCACACAGCCAAAGCAGTAGAACTGTGCCCTGGGCATCTGGTTGGTAATATTGGTAGCTCTGGATATGTCCAATTTTGCCTTTGCATTTGTTTTAGAGTTAGGTGCTTATGCTGCTACTGAAACAGTTTGCAATAGCTGGGCTCTCACAAAAGAACCAAATACTGCAAACCTCTAGGTAAAACTGTGAATGCTGGTATGTGCTAATGTTGCTGGAAGTATCACCAAACAATCCCTCTTCTTCCAGCAGCAAAACTACAAGGCTCAAATAGAAAGCAACTGTGAGAGAAAATTAAATGCTCCTGAACACCAAGTCTTTGAATAATAGTGTTCATTGAGTAACACGTTGAATTCTGGTGTCTGTACTGGGCCATTTGAATATGCCTTACTGTTGTGGGAGGTCAAACTACACATCTTACATCATGAAAATGAACACATAAACTGTGACAAACTCAAGTTTATTAGATCTTAATATATGTGAGGACTTCTAATGGTGTTTTAAATCTACTAAGCTGCCTGGCCATAGTTTGGGGACAAACTGCGGACAGTTTAGTGAGGTTTAAGCCATACACAGAGAAACATTTGTGGTTCAAAAGAATTTCTGAATGAAACAACAGATGAAGCAGTGTTACAAACTTGTGTCTGTGTGTTACCTGTCCTTTTTTAACATGCTGTGTTTCTTTGGTCTAATCTTCTTGTAAGTGAAAGGACAAGCACTGAAAAAAGAAGAGTGGATTTTTTTTCTGAAATTTTAAAATCCTGGAATGACTTCAATCAAATGGCCTGATATCTGTCACAATGCATTCTAGCCCACAGCTCTGCATTGCAAAGCTATGCAGAATTCAATGTTAAACAAAGCAGGCAGAAATGTGCTTACAGAAGAAAATGAATCATACTTGGAAAGAACACAAGATCTCCTTGTAACAAATATTTTGACAGCTCAGACTTTCTTAACTTGCTTACTTCCTCCTCTGAAGCTTTTAGATAGCAGCACATGGTGAATGGCATTAGCAAACCTTGTGTTTGTACAGCCAGCAAAGACTTGAAAGCACTTTCAAAGTGTTAAAAGATTTAGCCTAGCTCTCTACTCTTGGGGGGCAAATAGTTGTTTATTCCTTTCTTGTGAGTAAAGAAACAGAGACACCAGGCATTGAATTACACTGCTGAGAGTATCATGGAAAGACTGACAAAAATGGAATTATGCCTTCTGCTTTGCATGTGATTTTTAACCACAGGTCTGCCTTCCCCCTTCCCAGTCCCAGTCCCCAGAAATTCAGATGTCTCAACTTATGTCAAATAAGGTGGCTTTCAGTGTGTCCTGCTTGGAACATTTTAAATCATGAAGCAATAAGATTTTTAACCTTTAAGTGTAATAAAATGGTGTCCGGGAAATTTTGAGTGTGACATGTTGCTACTGTCACTTTATACATGTGTGGGATTTTATGAACCTATGAGCAACTCTGGTACATAGTCCAGACATGCTGTACCTGAACGAGGACACTACTCATGGCCCAAAGGCAGGAGCACTGTTCTGCAGTTTCCTTCCTGCTGCTATGGGATCAGAGCAAGCACTGAGCGCAGAGCACCTACCAAACCCAGCTGAAAGCGGGACTGAACAAAACAACCTGAGCTGTACCAAGGTCATCACTGATCCATATCAGCATATATGTGAATTAAAATATCTGTGGGAATACGTGTAAAACTGTCAAAAAAACTTCCCCTGACAGAAGAGAACCAGGCAGCCAGGATGCATTTTACAAACAAAACTCTGAAGAGCAGCATTGTGTTTATGTTCCTGTCATCCTTACATTTCTTGCTATTATCTAAACAAACCCATTTCAGCTCCTGCATTCTGCTTTTAAAAAACCTCAGAACAGCCTCACAGGGGCAGCATCAAATTGCTAAAGCAGAGAAGAGCACTGAGCAGAAGATAGTGCTTTTTTTCCCCAGATATTCCTGCAGACCAATCGTGCATCTGCTCTGTTGACATCTGCTGATGGAAAGAAGGTTAAGTCTCTATTGAGATATAGAACTAAATGCCTATGTTAAAGAAGGCTTAAAAGTAATTTTGAAATACAGGACTATGAAGAAGGCAAGAGAGATGAGACACTGATGTGAATTTAGCGTTCCACCAGGACTAAGGAATTATTGGGAAGGTTATTGGGATTTTGTTTCCGTGCTCTTAAAATTCAGAGTGAACAAAACTGTTTCTGTTAAGATCACCACCTAAGCATAAAAAATTATGCTCTTGGAATCAGTGCATTGAAAGAATCAGACGCTTGTTTTTACCAAATTGCAATCTAATTTTGAGAATACAGACATGCAGGATGAAAACACATTATAACCATCTTACCTGATATGCAGCAACGATCAACTGGAGAATATTTCCAGAATCCTTCTGTAATTGTCCAACAGTAGCTCCAGGAATAAGCTTTGCATAGTTCTGAAAATACGAAAAAGAATTTAAAGCAAAAAAAGAGACTAGGTGACAAGAAACTACTATCTGAAAAAACAGAACCAAAACAAGTAACAAAATATATTGAAGCCAACTAAAATAAACAGTAGTGAAGTTTTTGGTGTTTTCAAGGACCCTTGCAGGCTCAGTAACACATGTCCTATTGAAAAAGTCCTATGCAGAATTTCTGATTTCACTGAAAATTGATGGGACATATATTGCTAAATCACCTCTATGTGCTTGGAGGTTTGATACTCCAGTAGTTTTCAGCTCTGATTTTTCAGATTTAGTAGGAAGATATATTCTCTCAACAGCTGTGTTTTTCTCTAATAAAAATAACCAAAATCAGATTCAGCTGCTCTACTGTTGCTGTACTATTTGAGAGTCTTGGACCCTCCATTCAACCCTCCCTCAGTCACTTTTTTACCTTTGCAAGCAGCTGAAAATCTTGGATTCTGATTAGTGAGGGCACAGAAGTTAAGGAGTTTAAACTAAGAGCTACAAGAACTTAGAACAAAGACTCTTTAAAAAACTGTTGCTCATTTATGTTTGATGCACACCCGACATGTACCCCAGTGGTCTGTGGCTATTATTAATTGTATGCTAACTTTGTGTTAATAATGTAGTGCCAATTTAACAATTTATTTCAATGATAAGTTATTTTTTCTTTTTCCCTTAAATTGCATTGTGATTCTAACATGACAGCTAGATTTTAAATATGTTTAATTAAAATTTATGTTGCCTGGTTGTTAACTACATGAACTTCTCTTGCTTGTACCCATGCTTTGGAAAATAATAAGTGTTCATCAAAGAAACACATTGTAATCTTCATTTTCTTTTTCAATTTGTCATAACAATGCTGTGGTTTTAATTAAAAAAAATCAAGAGAGCTTTTAATAAACACGGATATTTTGTTACCCGATTATCTCTTTTATACTTCACATCTCCAAAAGCCCTGTGATTACTTTATATATTATATAAGGAATACTTATAACTCATTAGATTTCTAAAGTGCTATTGTAAATCAATGGGATTTAACTGCATTTTTTGTTACAGTTGGTGACTTTGTATTTCTGGCTCCTCCTGTGATTAGTGCTCTCTCAAGAATTCTTACAATATTGAAACTCCTCATTTTGTGCACGTGGACTGATTGGAAGGTAATTACAGAAAATACGATAAACCTGGAATATAAAGTATAGCACCTTTTAATCTGCGGTATGCAAACCAAACAGCAGGGATATACTGTTCTGGAGACTTCATTTGATCTTTCCTCTTTGAACAAAGATTTTCTGCATGGTGACACAAGGATGGCATTGCAAGGCCAGTCTAAGTGTGTATCTCCACTGGTTAAATCTTACCTTTTAGCAAATATTTTTGTTTAACCATTAACAAGGTGAGGCAGACTGATGTTTTTGGAGTGATACTGTTGTAAAACATCCAAGGGATGTAATAGAATTTAGTCTTTTAATAAATACTCATTAAAAGGTGAACTGCCATTATGTAGATACTCTGATTAGCGTTACTGAGCTTTGACAATTATGTATTTCAGTTCAATGTGGTCATATCTAAAAATTTTCATCATACTAGAGTGCCATGCCAAATTTATAAAAAATATTTTATATTCTGCACAAGTATGGAGACTGGAGTATTTTTAGTTCAATTTTCAGCAGTGGAAATCAGGCTGAAAACCTAATTTTCAAGATGTATTCTCCTGTGATATAAAAAGAAAATCATTTGTCCAAAGCAGAGCAATTTCTCTTTCAAGAGAAGTGGTGCTTAGTCAGGACTAAAGAGGGAGTCTTTTCCTTTATCTAAGTTTGAATAAATTTTTAAAGAATTCTACTTGAAAACAAATATCTACAGTAATAGCAGCTAGATTGTAGTGCAGTAGCTGTTGGGTTGCATAGAAGGATCAAAACCAACACCAGCTATGTTACAAGCATACATATTCTGTGCTTGTGCAATCAGTAATATTTCTGTGTTAGATAATAATAATACACATACATGTAAGTGGATAAACTGAAAATTCAGTTAAAGAGGATCAAGAATATTAGATGACTGACTTATTTTGGGCTAAATTGTTGGGGATTATACAGGGCTAGAAATATAAAATGCATATTTGGCAATCAGAAAACTGCACTTAAGTCTAATGGAATCCATCAATTCTATTTCAAGAGGTGCTTTCTAAGTCCTGACAGTCATTTTAATGTACCTTTTTCCCTAAGAACTGAACTATCAATAGCAGTGGTCAGGTTTTGAGGTCTGATATAGTTAGATGCTGAGTTCAAGTAGATTCAAAATATTTGGGGAGAGGCTTCCCACCTTAAAGGATAATTAAATCTGAGAGGGTTTTCTGAGAGAGAATGCAGAGTCTCCATCACTGAGGTGTTTGAAAAGATACAAAACACAAAGACAAGAGTGGTTTAATTGTGGTGCCCAAGTGACAGTTTAGAGTCCTCTCCCAGCTCTTCCAGGCTACCTCAGTTGTCGTAACACCAGAAGAACTCTCATTGTCTTGCTTTGTTCTTTTTTACAGTCCTAAGCATGAATACCTTGTTGATTGTATTTATATTACAAATTTGAACCATGCAAATGAGTACACAACACTATTATTCTGTTTGCAGGTTGTACCCTTGAAAGTATACTGTAGTGTGGAAAATCTGCACTGTGAGACATATATGATTTTTGTGCTTCCTATGACTGATTTTCTGCATCACCTCCAGGACAGAAAGCAGACCGTAACAACTATAGCTATTCTATTAAGTGACAGAAAGCAGTATTAAAAGACAAAAGCAGCAGATAGAATATACTGAATGGGATTACTATAGACCCTACAAGATAGAAGATAGTTGCACTTTTTTTTTCCTAACAAAGAAAGCAACAAGAACAAGCCATTCCCCAGTTGAATTAACAATGGCTTACACTTTTTGTTAGGTATAAATCTTTGTTTAGTGTTCCCAGCAAGCAAAGAGTGCCACTTGATAACTTTGATACTGGTGTAACACTGACACAGGGTTACTGAAATAGAACCTTCCTGGTAAGAGCACTGTTGGCCAACTCTGAGGGTGACTGCCACCAATTCCAAGGGAAAATATAATGCCATCAGTAATAGAAAGCTTCTTTGGACTAAATAAGGCTTTGTAAATCAAAGAGAGAGTTCCGAACTACCTCCTAGAGCAGCCCTTATTCATGCAGTTCCTATTAAAATCAGAAAAACTGTTTCACTTGTCATTAATTGAGCCCCTATTAAGAAATTGTTAAGCAAGAATGAGATTCAGGAAATGTTTTTAATGCGCAAATTTTGTCTAATGTATGCTATGACTATAGAATCCCACTTCACTTTTAAGTGATTGACTTCTACATAGTTGATCCACATTTCCACACTTCAGCTCAGTATTTAACACAGTCAGGTAGTCAGTGCTCCAAGATGCAGATTGCATCCTCCCTTGTCAAGTGTGTAATCTGAGAAACAGTTTATGAAAGATATGACTCCTGTAACTCTTCTCAAACTCCTGGAGCATTAGTCTTACTCAAGGTGACTCTACAACTGGAATCAGTTGCAGAAGCACTGGGGGGTCTTCCCTGGGTTACAGAGAGGACAGATAGAGAAAACAATCATACTGGTGAGTACTTCAAGGACTTATATGCTCTCTGCTGTAACACAGGGCCTTTTCCCCTAGCTTTTCTGTTTTCCATGAGGTTACCACACCGGAGGAGCACTTTTATTTACTTTTGGTTTTTAATGAGGAATGCCAAGTGAAGGTTTTTCCTTTGGAAAGTTACATTTATTGCATCACCAGGATCACCCTTACTGACTCCCTCTCAACCAACCTGAATACATTCAGAGGCACAATTTCTCTTGTTCCCTTTTCACACAGCAGCACATGGCCAGGCAGCCAAGCTTACGCTGCAAACGCCCTTTTTATCTTCACTGAATTCTTATCTAAAATTTGTTTTTGCATGTGAAGATTTCTCCCCAGCAGCAGGACTGGACAGAAAAGGAAATGAGAATTGCCAATACCCTTCTTATTTTATCATAGAGGGGTTTTGCTCATATTCACTGCAAAAAGCAGTCAAGTGGCTGTTTGTGACTTTGCCTCAACTCACCGCTCAAATATCCAACAGGCCAAAAGAAGCATGGGGCTTCAGGAGGGTTTATATCTGTGGAGGCTGAAAACGGGTGCCTGCACAAATGACTGATGGAGCTGCGGGTATGAATGCTATTAAATTTATTAAAAGTAAGGGTTTTGCATATCCGTGAGCACTGCTGCTCTACTCTCTCCTCTCTTCTGGCTCCCTTTTACCATGACATGACTTCACAGAGCAGAAGATTAATTCACAGAGCAGGATTCTGCCAGTCTTAATGTCAAAAATTCCTGTAATGAAGTGTTTCCCCTCAGTAGACATGAGGAATGACACATGAAGGAAGAGGACTTTGTCCATCATGTTGGGTATTTTTAATCTCGCCCCTAGTTTCCTATTTGTCTCATTGGAAAGAGACAGAAACAAAGAAAAATTAATAAAACTCTCACATCAGCAGGAAAAAAAAACCACCATGATCTCAGGGTTGGGCTTGAGGAAAATTGTATCTTTCAGAATGCATATGTGTCTTAGAAATGTAGGAAAAGGCTCAACTGTCCTTCTTTAGCCTTATAAAATACAAAAGGCTAATCATAATGATTGCACTGAATAGTTATGCATTGCTTACTTTGACAATCCTTGACTTAAAAAATTAGTGTGATTCAACTTAAAATCTAGCGTAAGAGTTACTTGAGAATATCAAATTCACTACATGAAGAAGCACTTCCTAAGTAGAAGAGTCTTACTGTGATATATAACTTCCCAGCTACTTTTATTAAATAGATATCTCGCAGAATTCAGTCCTTAGTACTAGAATTATTGTATCAGCTGTGAAAAAGGGTAACCTTTAAAACAAGTACTGGTGAACTGAACGTTTTAATGTGCTTACCTCGTATATGTGAACTTGCTCATTTGTTACAGCAAAAATTAATAAAACATTGTTTTGCACAAGTTTGTCAATTAATTGTCCGATTGTGGGATACTCCTGCAAACAGAGAGAAGAGAGCCGCATTAACCCATTTTTCATGTGCATCCAGTTGCTAATTACCTCCCATGAAACACACATTCAAGTAATCATGATTAGCACTGTGTTCTCTGTGTACTATAAACTATAATTAGTCACTACAAGTATACAAAATAAAAGATAGCGTATATAATTTCCTTGCATTGTTTTTAAGGAAACCCCTCTGAGAAAAGTACAGTGTTGGCCTCAGTACTGACACTTGGCTCAGTAGCTTCTGTGAGATATATGTATATATAATCCAAAGAATAACACTGCACCAGAGCAACTGGGTATTTGTCCTACACTGAACACCGTAGTGCATATATTCAGCATTTTTGAATAGAAATCTTAAGATGGTAAATTCTCTTACACATTGTCCTACAAGTTCCTGAACTCCTAAAACCACACCCTTACAGGGAACAAGGTTAATGTGAATTTTGCCTTTTCTGTAGAAGGAAATATTAGTCAGTCCCTTTCCATGTGTTTTCCAGGTTAGCAGGAATAAGATTTGTGCTTCCTTTTTTCCTAGTTGTAGTCTATTCTAGCTCCACAGAAACACATTTTTTACTGACATCTGTAATTACAAATAAAATACATTACATGCAATATCTGGATTCCCCATCTTTGACACATTTCAGTGGTAAAGGTATACTTTCATTAATTTTTTAATTTTCTCATGTCCATCCTTTAATTTCCAGAATGTAAGAGTTGTATAAGATTCATAGTAAATTACCAGAACAGTTGACATGGAGTATTCATTATTGTGGTCCAAATGACAGTTCCCATCATTAGGAATAACAATCCCTGCCAGTTTGCTGTCCATCCCAAAATGGGAATCAGCATCGCTCACAAACACCAGCAAATGTAGAGAATCATTCCTCCATCCAATTTTTTCCTGTAATTTAAAATGCATTAGTTTAGCAAGCTGTATTGCACTCACAATAGAGAAAAGCAGCAAAAGGTCTGGAGAACAGCACCTCAAAATAAATGAAGAGAATAACTTTCAAGGGAGTGTCAAAATCATCACAACATTTCTTAAGAGATAATGTTCATTCCATTGTCTTTGGTTAACATTTTGTCTCCCCATTCTTGTGTTTAGTAATACGGGCTGGCCGTGTTCGTTGCAATCTGCTTACCACTCTAAACATAGTTAATCGAAAATATTTAAAGAAAAAAACAATCAAGAAAATGAACCCAGTAATTACACAGTTGCTTAGTTTTTTTTAATCCCTGGCGACTAAAAAGAAACACTAAAATATTGCAATACGCATGTTTTACTTGATAGAGCCAAAAGTATTTTCACACAAAGCTAATGAGGCTCTTGGACTGCATTAGAACAAAATCCTGAAAAATAACGATCTGCTACTTTGAAATACAACCATATGATACCAGAAGTAGAAATAAACAGAATAATAAAATACCTGAGAAGTTTCAATTACCTTGCAAACTGCTGCCTGCATAATTGCATCGAAACCTCCCTCTGGAGTGTCTATATTAGCAGAGATCCGCTGTCTTTTCACAATTTCATTGAATTTTTCAGCATCATTTGTTAGTGGCAAAACATGTTTGTATCCAAAGGTGGGTAAGCAATCGTACGGAACACTTCTACAAGATAAGTGAGACAGCTTATGGATAATACAGAGTGAAAAATCACTTCAATGGCTACTTCGCAGGCCTGTCTGGAGTAAGGTTTGGTCATGTATCTTCTGTGTCTGAGACAGATCTAGTGAAAAACATAAGATCAAAGAGCATCCAGTAGGGTGGGCAGTACAAAGCGGTCTGCATAAAGCCTGGGAAATATCTTTGAGATCAGAGTAATTCAGCCATTTAAACACATGCAGTCTTTGCCATGCTCCCTGCTGTGCTTTGTTTTAGTACTCAGAAGCACATTAGGATCTTCAGTCCCTTAATGACATACAGAGAGCATCGCCAAGCTGCTGCAGTCCTGCTTCAGGCTGTAGAGCACAGCTTCTCCTCCACGTGAATTAGAAAAGGGTTAGGGCAGCTGCAGTTTAGGGGATACTGCTAGAATTTAAGGGGAAAAAAAAGCAGGGAAACAACATTGATAGGTAAATGCTATTCTGTGTTGGGTTTGAGCTTGCACCTGCTTAGTATAGCAGTGCCATAAAATTCTTATATGTATGTATATATTCTAGCAAATTAAATAAAAATACATATTCTGCGTACCTATGTGTTAACCTGTTAAGGACATTTATGACTAGCAACAAAAGCTAGAAAGCAGAATCATTCCCAGATTCCTCTCTCCAAATAATGTAAGACTCAACAGAATAATGAGGAGAGTGTGAAACAAAAAAAAACCTAAATCTTGCTTCCAAAACTGACTCATTTACAGCTGGAAGAGGTTCTAGTGAGGTTGCCGAATTGAATTTTATCCTAAAGATTAATATTATGACTTAATGCTGTCATACAAACAGATGCGGGTACTTTTGCTGCCTACCTGCAAGGGTTGCTTATTTCTGCAGCTGTAGTTTTGATAAATGGTGAAACTGGTTTTTCAACAAAAGATCCAAAGCCCAGTCTGAAGTTGCTTGTCAGTTTTGACATTTCTTTAGAGAGAGTTGAGCCCAATTCTTTGATTGTATTCAGATCATCATCCATGGAGGCTGAAAGATCCATGAGGTAATATAGATCAATTGGATAATCTTCAGTTTGCCGAACCTTGATCTGTATTGTTTCTTCATGTCCTATTAAGGTCGTGAGAAAGTGGGATACATGTTAGTGCTTCTACACAGAAGTTATGAGCAATGCCAACTTTTCCTAACTATATATATGGTGAAAATCATCTAATATTTCAAATCACCAGCAGAATAAAGAAAATCACCTTAAAAATTCTCTGTCAATGAAAATCTCAAACAGGGATCTAAAAAGTGAAAAGCAGTTCTAGTGGGTTTTTTCCTAAACTGTTCTTCAGTAAAGCCGTAAGCACAGATTTACAACTGATTCTCTGTTTGAAAAAAATAGGAGAAAATCACTTCAGCAGTATGTAGCTTCAGAAAACTAGTTATGTAGCTATTTAAAACTAAAGGTAGTGCTTAATGGGACATACTTTAGATATTTGAAGAAAACCAGTGTACACACCGGTTTTACTTTCAGTTCGAACACTATGATATGACCTAACTGAGTGTCTCCTACATTTCTTTATTCCAAATTTTCTCCAGGAAAAAATCACATCTTAAGGACCACAAAGTAGGTCTGGAGTGTTTCCATAAACGTCACTGGTACCTTGAAAATCCTCAAAGCAAGATTCTATGCTGCCTCTGAGGTATGATGTTTGTCAGACCTGAAACGTAGAGGGACAGGGTTGGGGTGGTATATGGGGTTTCCATTCTCTCCCTGCAACCTCGATAGAGTTCCCAGCTCTTCTGAATGTTCCCAGCACTGCTGGAAGTGTTTTGAACTCACTCACTCAAACCTAGTTTTCATCTGATGAGTCAACAGATAATTTTGGACTCAACACAGGGTTTTTATCTGTATTCTATAAAGATTATGGTTTTTTGTAAGACCAATCAGTCTGATAAGCTTCAGTATGAAAACATTTATATCCCACGTCTATGAACTGAGTGACTTACCTGGTCGAAGCCTGAGAGTTAGTTTTTGAGGAGATATCTGTGTAACATCAGAATTTGTCTTCTGGGACGCTACAGTTAGGGGCTTATTTCTGTGAATTTCTACTTCTGAAAAGGGAAATTCAATCGAATTCAACTGGCATCCTTTTGACAAAAGGTTTTCTGGGGTATCACACCTCCCGTGAGTTCCAACTGAGTCTGTGTAATTCTAAAGCAAACAGGAGAAGGAAGGGATGAGTTAAACATATTTACTGACCAGCCACAAGCATCTGGCTGATGAAAGGTCAATCCAATGCAGGGAACAGAAACAAAGGTGCAAGCTAGTGCAAACTAGTGCAGAAAGAAATATAGGTGGCACAGAAATCTAAATTTGCCCTTCATGGATTGTGTCATGCAGGTGTATAAATAATGTAACTTAACACCAGTTTGGTACTCTTGGAGAAACTGCTCTGTTGTTGAGGAATGGGAATTGTGCCACTCACTGCATTTGGCTTCTTACAGTACTGGGAATGATAACACAAACCCCTATAAGTTCATATTTTTTCTATGACAGGATCAAGCCACAAATTCATCAGTCTTTCATGAACAATTTTGGGCTGCTGATAGAACAGCATCATTTAATAACAGAAGAGGTCTTGCAGCTAATAGACTCCTACAGATTTTGTTGCAAATAGTGCGGTACCTAGTGTTAACTGGTTTTATTCTGACCTACTCATTCTCCTCAACATCCATTTAACATGTTCACTGAAGCAGGTAGCAAGTCCTTGTTACTCTGCCTGGTGCCTAACAAGCCCCAGAGCCTCCTTTCCTCATTTCCCAGCATCAGCAGGGCTGCTGGCATGCCCACATCTATCTGGTTATGTTTGGCCCACCATCCTACTTGACCTTTTCTCATCTGGAGGAAATCACAAGCCCTATCGATATTGGTTAGATAGCTTGCAGTTTATTTTTGTTACCCATTTCAAAGCACTTGATATGCATTCCTTTCCACAACACTGCTGCAGAAATTAATGGCTACAAAGAGGCTTCTGTGCCTTATTACCATTTCCTAGAGCTATGTCTAGAGTTTAGATCTTCAAAATCAGTCAGCTGCCCTCTGAACTGGACACTGCTCTGGCCTGCAAGACCTTTTGACCAAAATCTCATCAATGCCCAGCAGAAACAGCACCAAAACATTCAATTGCTGGATGATGGTAATGAGCCCATACATGGGGCTGCTCTTTTCTCCTGGATTTGGGTGAGAATCCAGGGTTCAGCCATTAAGCCACAGATATTCCTAGATTCAGTCCACTGAAAAACTTCCCATCCAAAGCAAAACAAATTTACTTAGAACCTATTAAAACCAGAACTAGGACCCTTCTGTCCACCAAAATGCCACCCTTCATGCCTGAAAATTATCAGGGATCTTATATACTTTATGGGAAGACACCTGATTTGAAAAGTGGTTCAATCTCACCAACTACTTCTTGAATACAATGCTCATAGGAGTCATGTACCATTATAAAACTTTCACAGGGAGATCCATATCATCTCCTTTAGTTACATGCTTTCTGACTTTTCAAAACATGTGAAAAGTCAAACTCATGTTTCAAATACAATTGCAAGGTGCGTTTTTATCCTACAGTAAACAATGGTTTCTTTGGAGGCACTTGTGTTTACTCTGACACTAAAGTTCCTATGTCTTTGGCACTCTTGATGTGTTGCTGTCTAGGAAACAAGTGAATGAGCCTACAAACAAGTTGAAAAATCATGTTTACTACTCTGAAGCTTTCAATGGATAAACTTTTATTTATTTATTTATTTATTATCATGAAATTGTGTTTCAATTTTGTTTTCTGAAAATCCCTGGCAGGAGTCAAAGTTCTGTGATCAAATTTCATTTCAGCTTTGGTTGTTAAATATAAACATAAAAACTACTGCAAACACACTACTGTGGCTGGGGTTTTCCCCATAGGAACTTTTTTTTGCAAACTGCTATATTATTTTTGGAAAACTTTTTTTAAAAAAAAACCCTGCTGTTCAGTCTTTGTCAGCTACTTCATGAAGCAGTTATGTTAGTCTCATCCTAGCTATCATTTTGCTATTCAGAAAAACAAGAAATATTTTTAACAGCAAAGGTGTAAATCAGAATCTATAATGAAAAAGACTTTATTTCTCTATTATTTCTGGCAAGTTTTTAATTGTGATAGCTGATATCTTGCTTACACAAAATAAGTCCTAGAACATTTACTGTGAAGTAGGGACATATTATTTAGCATCATTTACAGGTGAAAGTTTTAAACACAAAGATGTTAAGTGGCTTGTATGGGGTTACAAAGAGAGTCTGCAACAGGTATATGGGGAAAAATCCAGGTTTCTTTTTTAAGCCTCATGTTTTAACCAAAGCACTTACAACTATATCATGCTAGTTATTAAACTGACAGTATTATCATACTTAAAATCAACCACATATTAGTCGTTTGTATATGCAAACTGACTGAAGCACCTTCTGTTTACAGTGTCTGGCTTTGCATGTAATGTATAAGATGGAGTCTGGTCTCTGACTTGATGTCTAGTTCTTCATCATCAGCACCATGAGTGAGTCAGCCCTGAGGCTGATGAACTGAGCCCCTCTGCTAGCACTTTTATTTCTGCCTTAGATGAGGAAGGTTGTCTTTAAAAAACAAAACAAAACAAAAACAGAGCAGCAAAGCTGTGAACAATAGACCATAAAGGCTAGATAAAATTCCACTTTTGATTCCCAGGAAGGCTTCACTAAGCACTGCATGCATTACAAAACCACAGACTGTCCCAATTAAGTCAATACTTCATCATTCAGAGCTAGTACATCCACTTCAAGTCTTACTTTGAAATTTTTTTGTATCATTTACTCTACCTCTTGAGAACACCAAGCACAGTGTGGTCCGGAAAGCAAACAATCTTCACAAGTCACTGCACTTTCCTGAGAACATGTCCCTAAATTTAAATCCAAGAAGATAAAGAAAAATATTAATAATGTGTTTAATCATTCAGCACATGAAGAATGTTGGCTTTTAGAGAATGTGAGAGGTGAAAAATGGACACTTTTAACCATATTTAAGATTACTGATAAAATTCCTTTGTAAAAGTATTTCTATTAGTAGATTTACAATCTAATTAAAATTAAAATCACACAATTGCTGGCAATCAGCATACTCACTTTTGCATGTTTTATGGATGCCATCCGCTGAGAAAATGTTACTTGTTTTCTCCTGTGCACCTGATAGTGTTACATGTGTTTCTGCTATGGTGTAGGTACGACATTTCCAATATAAGCAGGGGTACTAAAAGAGCAGATTTATGTTCACTCTATATGCTTAAAATTGCTTCACTCACATCTGTAGATACTTGATATGATTTTAATTTATCATGCAAGTACCAATGAAACACTCAGTCACATATATAGTATCGAGTTTCTCAGCAAATCAAGCTGTGATTAATATAAGCAAAATTGCTCAAATGCCCATCTCTTTCATATATGTTGTGCTACATAATGACCACATAAATCTTAGGCGAATTTGCAGGGCAGCCCTACAGCAGTCTGTCAAACAAACAAAAAAAAAGTCATTAAACAAAAAGCAATGATTAAATATTGAAGACAGAAAGTGATTTTGTGTCAAATTCAAGCAAGAAACAATGCAAAAATGGTTTTGAAATGGATTTCTCTGTCCCTGAGCCTTACCTTGCACATAGTTATTTCTGTGCAGAAACAGGAAACAGAGGCAAAGCAATTCAATCCCCATTCGGTTTCAGTGCTGGCTGCGTGACAAGAAAGTATTAGCGTGTTAATTATCATCTGCAGAAAGGTAGAATGTCGTAAAAATCACTCAGTCCTGGAGGGTATGTTTTCAGGTGTCACCTACACCAGATTGCAAGGAAACTTCAGCCCTACCATCACAGAGTATGACTAAAGTGAAAACAAGGGCTACCTGGGCAGGTAAAGAGGCAAGCTGTGCGTAAAGTAACATGAACATGGTTATCACTTCCTTGTTTCCCTGGATTCCTTATAAGGTATAAGGGGAAATTCATTCAGGTGCAGATTTCTGTCAATCCCAGTCACTCTGGGTCCTAGAGCAACCCAGCCAAGGCGGAGGGGTTTTGTGTGCACAGCAACTCTTTAAAGGCTCCTCTAAAAAAACGCCTTTTATTGTTCCCTCATGGAGTGCGCTAGCTTGATGGAGCATTACGACTGCCAAGTGAGCATACCTGGAGAGATGTAAAAATCCCATTTTTTCAGATTTCCTGTTGTGGAGCAAAACTTCTAAAGGTGCCTGTGGAAAAAAAAAAACAAAAACAAATGCAAAAAAGCAATCATTCATTACAATTGAGGACCTGGCTTCAGTGGTTCAAGGTGGAGAGTACATTTATTTTATTAACACTGCAAACTGAAAACGAAATGCTGCAGTTGTGGTATTTTTGTTAATATGTAGAAGAAGGAATAATTGCATCCTCAATTATGCAACTGCTTGGAAAAAACTTCATGTCAGCTTTAACTCTATGTCATAAGTGACTAAATATTCTATAGCTTAGATATAACAATATAACGAGTTCTGATATCTTTCTTTCCCCCATGATCCCCGGAAGAAAAGGCAAAACATGCATTTCTTACAACCTTATTAAAAGGAAATAAAATTTCCTATTTGCAGATTTCATCTCTCCCCATCTTTCATGCTCTGCTATTGTCTGTTTTGAAAATCATTTGTTCAGGACAGCCCCTCTCTTATCATACGCGACTCTATACAGTGCAGCATAAAATGATAATTTTGTTGTGGGTGTTGCTAGCCTGAAAATATGTATCCTTTTTTTCTACAGTCGGAAACCCTACCAAAGTTAGCTCACAAGGACTAGGTTGCTCTCACCAAGAAAACTGGCAGGCTCAGACCTCTGTTTTCACAACGGTGGTAGCTGCAGTCTTGGGGCAGGATATAAAGGTAGGGATAGGTCTATACTAAACTCAACACGCCTGAAAACATTCCTGGGCACTGAGGCCAACTGGCACAGAAAGACCTGAGTTTATGCTTGCAAATTGCCTGTTGGGACCATTCTAGCAACCAAATTGTGCCCAGAAATTGTTTGCAGAGTGTTAATTGAAAGAGGTCAAATTCATGCCAGGGAGCATTTTAGCAGTTTAATAGCAGAGGCAATCTCATTCTAGTGCCTGGAAATATTCCCAGGCACATCCAATTTTACTAGTATTTACACAGTCTATGAGTAGTTTCAAAGCAGTTCAACGTGGATTACGTCAAGACTACCTCTGCTCTGCCCTTGTGTTCCCGCTCCTTTGCTCCTACCAGTACTCGTGTTCAAACAAACCGTGAAATGACTCAAACTGATCCAATTGAAATCCAGTCACCTTCCATGGGGAAGGCGGGAGGCTGCTTTTCACCTAGGTGGGTTCCTTGAACTGTGTGGCTGTGCAGTCCAGAGTGAGTGGCAAGGTCAAGGGAGGGATTAGGAAAGGGGCAGAGAGGCAGAGTTGGCAGCAAAGGCGGGAATATGTTAGGCTGAATTTATCCCAGTTTAGGCTGTTGTGGGACAGTATCTCAACACTTCTGTTTACAACAGCATTCCTAAGCCTCCTTCTATTGCTTTTTATACCTTGGAGTGTCCTTTGTAAAGCACTTTTTCAGCTACAGCAATTTTCTCTGCCATGAAAACAGATCGGTTAGATTATGCTCCTTCAGCTGGTGAAGATGCAACTCCGTGAGGACACTGTAACTGTGGAAGGTCAAAAAGACGTGGAATCAACTGAATGTGCTTGTTCCTACTAGGAAAAAAAAATCTTCCTGTTAAGTACAATCCAAAGAATCTTATTTTACTGTTTTAAATTTACATTTGTGTGCATGTTCTTTAATACTGCTGCTTGCAGAGCTCCGAAACCCACAGCTTTTCCTCTCAACGTAGAAGGTCACTATGTAGGTCTTACTAGGCCTTGGTAGTGTAGCAGCACTTCAATCCATGTGCTCAAATGACTTGGTGGCAGCCCTTCAGCCACCAAAAGGTGCCAGACACCAGCAGTGTCCCAGATTAAAGGCCAGCCAGCTGAACAGCTGGCAGTTAGCAAATGCTTATCCTTAGGTTCAAGATGATATAGAACTTTGTAGTGTAGGGAGAATAAATAATACAGCCTACATAAAACTTACAAATTCTGTTTGATGCTATCAGTTTCCCCATTTGGTTGTGTGGTAATATTTTATACATGTCTTGGCAAGGACAGAATGACTGGAGAGAGCAGAAAAGGAAAAGAAAGTAGTAGAACAAAAAATGACAGAAACACACAGGGAGAAATAAGAGAGAAAAATCAAGGTCAGATTTGATTTTTAAAATCTCACACAATGGGAAGCTCACAAGACTGGGAAGAGTGGCAAAAAATCCCCTCAGTGATAGGGAAACAAGAGGTTAAGAGAGGTCTGGAAAGGGAGACAGCACGTACCGAGAGTAGATCTTGGGCAAGGCAAGGAAACCTAGGCAGGAAGCTGACTGATGATTTTTGTTTTGAAACATCACCAAATAAATATCTTGTGTTATATCTAAAGGTAAGTTGACCAGGAAATTCCTCTACTAATTTAATGCTTTACTGTCTTTAGCTATCACACATGCTGGAAGAGTAGAATTGCAATTTGGAGTGCTGATGTGGGGAGGATGCATGAAAGTCCTTGTGGTCCTGGCATTGCTTGGTCTGACAGCAAGGTCCCCCTTCTTTATAAGGTTTGGAAGACAGAGTCCAGTCAATCTTTAACAAATTCACTGGCAGGTAACAAACATGGAATATTGAGGTACAGAAAGGAAGCAAGCTAATGTTGGGGACAGGGAAGAAGAAATCAACTAAAAAACATTAGACTCAAGTTGCATTTCATTAATAATAGTGGGTATTTTTTCTCTAGAACAGTGGTGTATCCTTTCTGTCACAATGAGATGAATGCATAAGTCAGCCTTGTGATAGATCTGCAGAGGTTCCAGAATGGGAAGTGTTTGCTTACAGAAGCCCTCCTCACCATTGGCCCATGCAAATCTAAAAATTACTCCATTTTAGAAAAAATACCAGTCTCTCCTGCAAATAGCTTATAAACTGATGCAGCATAATTATACACATAGAGGGAGACCCTCCCAAGAGAAAACAGCAACTAGCTCCTTTTATGCTAGACAAAACCTGGAAGAGGAGGTCTGTTAGCTCTAGTGAAAGCTTATCAGTCAACGTAAGAGATCAGTACGTCCCACAGTCATCAGAGCAAGGAAAACGTCTTTCAATTTGAAGCTGGAGAGCTATCCCTATAGAGGAGAAATTCTTGGGAGTTATCTCTCAGCCTCACACACAACCCAGCTCTTAATTCCCAGTGCTCTTCTCACACACACTCCACCCTGAAATCCTGAAAAAATACAGAACAATTTAAAGTCTGAAGGTCCCATGAGCTGAGACGGTTCTCAGAGCATTTACAAAGGTGGGGGAAAGTTTCTCCCACACTTCATTTCTTATGTCTTGCCCTTCATCAGAGAGTTCTGTGGGACTGGAAGCAGTGAGGTGGTGTCTCCTTTCTCTCCATCATATAAGGCAATGTTCACCTCCTCAATGCATCTGCAAGAGGCAAAAGGGCTACACTCCTTAGGTCCGTGGCAGGTTGCTTTGAATTTGAAACATCTGATGCCTTTATTCTCTCCCTGGCTGGCTTCCAAATCAAATCCATCTAGAAGGGTCCTGAGGATCTCTAATGGGGAAATCAGAGCAGACTTTCTAAGTTTTGGTCAAACTTTTTAACCTGAAAGATAACAGAAGAATATGCAAAAGTCTACAGAATGAGTGTTTAAAATACTTTTCTCCCAAAGAAGACATATGTTCTGTAGCTGCACAGTCAATGCTTCCAGACTCTTGCACCAGCAGAAATGGAAGGCATTTTCTTCAGAAAGTCTACCCTCAAATATATCTCTCAGCAGGCTGACAGACCCAGTTCCAAAGAACGGCAATGGCAAGTGTTTCAGAGGATGCTTAAAACTTAGATTCCTCTCTAAGGAACTAGAGGTGATTTGAGTAGCCACATAGTGGTGTGAATGTCCTGCAAACACGCCAACCCAGCACAGACAGAAACCACACACAAACACTGCAATGACACTGGAAGGACTGTCATGACTCTAACTTTGCTGCAGCATAGGTCCTGGCAATACTTAGGGAGAGCTGGCTAAAACACAGAGAGAGGAAGCATTCAGGACCCCTATAAACACCATGGAGCCTGTAGTAAATTAAGATCTGAGTGTACAGTGACTGAGCAGCTTCACTCCAGCTTCCATGTTTTGTGGTGTACTAATATCGTACGCTGATAGAAGCCTAGGACCAAAACACTGCTGTGTGGGGTAAGCCACAGAGTCCACCAGAGGTGTGGGTAGGTATGTGGAAAGGCAAAGGCCTTTCTTCATCTCCTCTCCAGGTACTGTTTGCAAGAACAGCTACACTCAGTGGAGAGTGGCTTTAGAAGAAGATGACGGGTGTCTGTAGCTCCTTCCAGTGGGTTGCAGGAGCTGAAGAGTCACACAGATGAAAGGAATTTTCCCCTTCCAGCTCTGAGCAAAGTGTGGTGTTTGGGATTCATGACTCAGGCCATGATTCACACTCTGGTCTCTCCTCATTGCCAGAGCAGTGTGCTGCTGCTAGATGAGGGCAGAGATTGAAGTCAACAGCCTACCTCTGAACAGAGAGGAGAAGGAGGAAGAAGAAGGAATTGCTCACCAAGTGAGCAGTGAACAGGCAGGCAACACCTGGGGTGTTTTCCCACTCGTATTTACCTTGCCCACAGCTCTGACTGGGCTGGCTCCAGCCGAGGGTGTGAGCAAACCTTTGTTCCTGGTTTCCCTCAATGGGTGAGCACCCTGAAAGATTTGTCTGCCTTTCAGATTTGAATACATTCTCACACCCAAAGTGAAATAATCAACTTCTGAACTGCAGAAGGGCTCAAGGGAAACCAGTGGGAAAATCACTGGCATTCAAGCAGGTCTGCCAGCAGGCCAGCCAGGACACTCAAAACTTGACGGGGATTTCCACACAGCCTATCACATCTAGCCTCAGTTCCTGTTTGCTTTATACAGTTATACAGTACACCTTGTTCTCCCTATGCTGTAAAAGCCTGGTACCGGGGCACCAGGGCAAGCGCCTCTGTTCAGTGCTGGTGCAAGGCTGAGCACGCTGTGTGGCGAGAACTGCGCTGAGCGCTGGCTCCACAGCACCTCAGACCTCCTGCACTTTAGCTGAGGATCTTTCTGGGACTTATTCTATTCAGATTAATGC